ATCAAAATTATCCATTTTGCATTTCATACTGTTCTTTATCTCTTGTTTGGTCATAAATTCTTCTGCTCTCCCCAAATCTGACAGGTAAACTATTTCTTGCTCTCTTATAGTATCAGCCTTTATACCTAAATAGTATATCCATTTTGACTTTATTCATCCTTCGACCAATGACATCATGGGTGACATCTTGACTTATGTGTGAATTGAATTTAAGTGAGGCAGAGTTGTGTAAAATCTTCAGCCTCACTCCCTCTTGAAGTCCAGTGGCAAGACAGAAGTCAGCATGACTGGATGCAGTGGAGGACCTTGGCATCTTCCATGTCTGACTAAGCTCCAAGTGATCCACAGTACCTGCTTCAGCCACCTTCATGACTGTTGGAATAAACTGTTCTCATCCACCCATTCTGCCAGGGAAGTCTTCACATGCTTGGAGTCGACGTCCTCCTAACTCATCAGTGGGTTTGAGGCCTCTCAGTTACCCTTAACCTGGTTTAGCCCATCTGTCCAGATGTTTTTACCAGGGTGTGGCCATCGTGCATGCTACAGCTTATTGGAGGTACAGGTGAGAGCTTGGTGAAGGTGGACACCAAAGGTGAATGAGCAGCCCTGAAAAGGCTTGGCAACCCTCACACCAGAGATACTAGTCCTCCCTGACCACTCCAGCTCAAGCACTATCTTCTGTATGAAATCTTTCTTGTTCCGCCGCCCCAACTGCTAGTGCCTTCTTCCCCACACTACCTGATAATTAACTACTCTGTATGTATTTGTAATAACTAACCTTATGTTTATTATATATATAAATACATATGTGTGTCTATGTGCACATATTTTACATGTACTTATTTTCCACTTTAGAATGTAAGATCAATGAGAATCGAGATTGCCTCATTTTTTTCTATTTATATGCCCAGCACCTAGCATACAGTATGATGCACAATAATAATATTTGATTGATTGATGAAAGAAAATTGACTGATCTATCCATATCCTTTGATTCAGCAAAGTGAATGTTCATTGATTGGAAAATGGCTGGGACAAAACTGGAATACATGAATGTAAAGTCATTATTGTGTCTAAGAAATGATGAATATAAGGAATTCGGAGCAACATGGAAAGACTGACATAAACTGATTTAGTACAAAATATGCAGCAAGGGAAAAATATGCATAATTAATGAAATGTAAATAAAGTAAATCACTAAAAAGTTGAGCTCTAATGAGCTCATGAACTCCATGAAGAGGTGGGGGACTACTTTGATAGAATATTGTATACATTGCTGGACAAGGTTTCTTTGTTGGATATTTTTGCTTAATTATTTTTCTTTGTCTCAAAGTTGAGTTCAATCTGGAGGAATATGAGGAATGACTTTGATGCTAAAACAAAAGGCACCAGTGAAATGTATTTGATTTAAAAACAAGAAAGCCAATATGAATAAGGGGAAGGTGAAGGGAATAAGTATTTATGCAGTGCCTGCTACAATTAGGCATTGTGCTAAGCTCTTTTAACAAATATCTCATTTAAGCCTCACAACAACTCTGCTATTATTATGGTAGGTAGGTGCTATTATTATGCCTATTTTGCCATTGAGAAAACCAAGGTAAACAGAGATTAAGTAACTTCCCAGGGTCATACAACTAGTATCTGATGCCAGATTTGAATTCAGATCTTCTTGACTCCAGTCCAGTACTCTACCCACTGTGGCAAGATTCCATATAGGCAGAGGGAAATCAAAATGAAGGCGGAGGTGAGTAAATAGCAAAAAACACATTGGGAGGGAATGTAGAAGAAATTCTGAATGCCCAGTTATACAATCAGTTTGAATCCATTCCTATAATGGGTTGAACTGAACAGTTGAGGGAAAAGCTGCTTTGTCCCACACCCTAGAATGGTACAGGTACTAACAAGTACAAGGAAATGCTGGGACACACATTATGAAGGCTAATGACTGCTTACTGAAGGGTGTGACTGTACCATGGCGGTCTGACTTCCTGCATCATGCTATTTAAGGCATGACAGCACCTGCTAAGACTTGTTCAACTTTTGAAGAGTCATTCACTTCTGGTGGCAAAAAATTGGAAACTGAGGGGATGTCTATCAAATGGGGAATAGCTGAACAAGTTGTGGTATATGATTGTGGTGGAATAATAATGTGCTTTAAGAAATAACGAGCAGATGGTTTCAGAGAAAAAACCTGGGAAGACTTGATCCAAAGTGAACAGAACCAGAACATTGTACACAGTGATAGCAATATTATAACAATGATCAATTATGAAAGACTCACAACTTCTGAGCAATACAATGATGCAAAACAATTCTGAAGGACTCATGATGAAAAATGCTGTCTTCAGATAGAGAACTGATGATCTCTTGAAAATAAATTGAAGTGTAATTTATTTTATTTTTCTTCTTTTTTTGGCAACATGCTATTAATATGGAAGTATTTTACATGACTTCACATGTACAATTGATGTGTATAGCTTGCCTTCCCAATGGGGGTGGGGGAGGTGATGGAGAGAATTTGAAACTCAAAACTCAAAATGTTTAAAATGAGTAATTTTTTTTAAAAAAAGTTATCCAATTCTACTGATTTGTGAGAGAATGAATGACGGGAAGTATCTAGGGATCATGAAGATCTAGCAGGCAACATAAGGACTAATTCTTTTTCTAACTAAAGCTCCAGACTGAAAGAGGAAGGTTGTACTTCTCTTGGCTGACTTTTCATCAATCAGTGCTTTATCTCAACTGCTATGAAGCGAGGTCCTTTTAAGGGCAGAGACTGATTTTTGCCTTTCTTTGTATTCTCAATACACTTAGCACAGTTCCTAGCACATAGGAGGCTCCTATTGTTTGTTGACTTGACCTACTTGATGATCCTAGGTGCTGAGGAATGAATTTATACCTGTGGAAGTGATGCTAGGTGATAGATCAAACCATTATTATTATTGTTGTTGAATATTATCATTATTATTATTCATTATGACTTGTCAAAACGAGTTTTTTCTCCCCCTTTTCTCTTAACTTTTGCAAAAAGTTTTGCAAATCCCAAATCTCCCCTCAACTATTAGAACAGTAGATTCTATCAAACTAATTCTAAGGATATTTATTAGTATCCAAACAAAGCAGACTGCCAATTTTCAGCTAATGGCTGCCTCCCAATATTACATCATCTTCAGGTTAATTAGAAGTGGCTCATTATTGGTTTTGATTCAGACAACACGTTACCTACATCTATAAAGTTGCTTGAATATATTTTGAACGTATGTCATGGCCAAGTTTCCTCAAAGACAGCATGGGTGGAGAAAAAGACTATCCATGAGGCTGGCAACTGGGTAATTAACACTCAGAAAGGGTTATCCATGAGCCCAGGAATGTGCATACTGGACAATTAGCACTCTTACTTTTTCAAAAACAGAAGATCACGGGCCCTTATTGATAAGGATGGGAGGTCAGAAGTGGAACCTTTTTCTCTATATAAGCAGAAGCAATCTAGCCTCAAATGCAAATGGCAAAGCCTCATCATGTAACCCTCATTAGGACTCAGGTATATGTGTCAGGGCAGAATATGCCTGTAAAGGACCAGAAACTCTACATTCTCAGAGGTGTGACTTTCAACTGGAAGTAGCTAAGGTGTCTTAGCAGTTTTCACACTCTGCAATCATCATCCTTCTGAGATCTGGCCAGCTATAATTCATATCCAATTTAACTCCAACAAATTTCACTGGAATTTATGTGTATATGTACATGTAGATATATATGTATATAGTATATATTACCATATTAAAAGGTGAAAGCAAAACTTGTATAACATGTATATATACAGATATATATGTAAAATGCATGAAATTTTGCTTTCATCTTTTAATAGTATGGCAGGGAGAGGGGAAAATTTTTTTAATATTTACCACATAACCATTAATTTAGAGAGCATTAGCTGCTAAATGTTGGGGAATGGGGGAGGGAGACTGATCACTTCTCCAACCCTTGGAATTAGGCCAACAAACTTAGAACAGTATTGAAAGACAGAATTTGAAAAGATGTCCTCTGTACCTAGATGAGTACCTGTAGGTTATCCTGTTCCAGTTTTATCAGTGTATAGGATGAAAGTGGCACATTAGTCAAAGCTAGGGTGTTATTAAGTTGGACACAGCATATAAGGAAAGGGAGATATTTCCATTGCCTCTTTCAGACCATGTCCAGGTGGCATTCTGTTCAATTTAGGCACCATATCTTATAAGGGATGTTCACAACATGGAGCACATACATTCATAAGAGGATAATAAGAATGACAGTGAGGATGACTTGACATCATGTCATATGTGTAATGGTTGGAGGATAGATGTTTAGTGTGGATAAGAGGAGGCAGCTGGGTAGGGGAAAAGACACAATGACACTTCAGTATTAGAAAATGGCGGTGATCTCCAAGACAGATTAGTTTTGTTAGAGGGCAAAAACTAAGATCAATACAGAGGGATCCAATGGAAGTTACGATATTATAACAGAGCATGGCACACATTAGAATAAGACACAAGGCAGTCCACTCAGTAATTAGATGTGTTTAAATCCTCATTTGAGATATTGTGGAGGGGACTCCTACCATAGGTAAAGAATTGGATTAGGGGACTTCTGAATCTCCCTTATACCAGGATTTTGAGATAATGCAAATAAGTCAAGCCAAGAACCAGGGATGGGAACATGGATTAACAAAAATAGAAAAGGAACTCCCTGGCCCCTAAACCTAAATATCCTTGTGATTCCTTGTGCTTATTAGGGCTAATGTGTAAAGTTAAGTCTCCACTCTCCTGTGCCTTACCCACTGGAAACTACTCTGGACACACTATAAAGCTATTCTAGTTCTAATGGCTCCCTTTTAAAAGTGAACTGGCACACTGAATAAATGTAGTTGCTTTTTATCAAAACAATTTAAAAGTTGCAAAACCTCTAATCTTTGAGAATTTGCAGCATTTGGAAAACACACAGAAAAAGTCTGAGTATGAAACCAATTAGTAATGAAAAAGGTACTTTGACAAGCCTTTATTTCTTCCTCCTGCCAGCTTAGGGAGGAGATTACATCATTACCTTGCACAACACTAACAGTTAAGCAATAATGAATCAAATGGGTTGTGTTATTGCTGTTCTTTCAAAACAGAGAAAACAGCTGCAGCTCAAACTGGTCGCAGATCTATGAGGATACGCCTAGGCATCTTTGCATTCATTCTTCAGGAGGGAGGTTTTGCCCAACCAAGGAACAGAGTACACCTCAAATTCGCAGATGGAGTGCTGGGAGGAGGAAGAAAGAGAAAGACCAGCAATGAGAATGAAGAAAAAACATTTTAAGAATGGACCCAGAATTATCTTTTCCAATAGGTACACAAGTTGGGCATTTAAGGAAATAGGATGATGATCCAAATTCGTTACTGCCTAAATTTCAGAGTGTGTTTCCAGACTTAGCTTTACATATACCAATGCAATTGAGCCTCATAGTTCCCCTATGAGCTAGCTTGCTCCAGGAATTACCTCCATCTTACAGATAAAGACACTGAAACTGAGTTTGGACTAGTAGTTTATGGGAATCCTTTCCAACCTCCTATCTACTCCAATCATGTATACATTAGAATTTTCCTTTTCTTTAATCAAAAGAAAGAAAACAGGTATACATATCAATAGGAATTAGGTCTGCAGTACACAAGGACACTAGTGAGGTTGAGGGTTAAGAGGATGGGGACGGTTACATACTGAGGTTTTCACCTAGTGTTACCCACAGCCTACACAACTCCCCCCCCCACCTCTTTCCAAAAGAGCATGTCTAGAAAAGACGTTACTACACAGAAGGGTATCATGCTCTGCATAGGAATCTTTGTTTCTAGCATGCTTTCCCACAGTCCCTGGGCTGAAAGGCTTTCGATATCCTTCTGGGGAAGGGTAATGAGAGGAGAAAATTGTTCTGGCCAGAGTTGCACTAGCTCAGGGGAGGTACTGGGTTCAGAGTTGGGAAGACCTGGGTTCAAATCCTTCTTCCAAAACCATGAGACTTATTGTATGATGGCGTGGAAGTTATTAGGAAGTCTTCTCTAAGAACCTTGGCTTCCTCATTTGTAAAGTGTGGATAATTATACTTCCCAGAATAGTTGTTAGACTTAAGAGTTAATGTGTGTATAAAATGCTTTGCAATCATTAAAGTGCTATTTAAATGCCAGATTTTATTGACCAAAGACTCTTCCTCTGAAAAAAAAATGAGTGGGGAAGAGGGAAGATGTAAAGACAAGAGAGTAAATCTCTTCCCAGAGCCCTGAAGAAGCAGAAGGAAACTAAGGACCTCAAGGAAAAGGAAAGGCCAAGAAGGGGATCACCCCATCTCCTGATTCTGGACATTTTCCCTGGCTGTCCTCTAAGCCTGGAGATGTCTTCCTCCTCATCTCCACTTTCTGGCTGCCTTCAAGTCTCAGCTAAAATGCAACCTTCTGCAGGAAGCCTTTCCAGATCCTCCTTAATCTTAGTGTCTTCCTTCCATTTATTACCTCCAATTGATCCTTTATCTTGAACGTATACAGTTTTTTGGATACGTTGTCTCCCCTGTTAGACTATGGGCTCTTTCAAAGAAGTGACTTCATTAAAAAAAATTTCTTTTCATCTCTAGGGCTTAGTCCAGTGTCTGGCACATAGTGGGCACTTAGACATGACCAGCTGCAGGGGAAGCTTCACTAACTTAACCAAATTCTATTTCTGTAAGGAAAATGATATCTTTTGGGACCTCAGGTGGTAAATCAGGGGTCAGACTGTAAGGTGATGAGAACCACCCTAAAGTATCTCCCCCACGTTTGTCCTTTGGAGGAAGGAGGTGAAGGCTAAAATAGTTAAGAATTAAGCAACACTATGGGTAAATCACCAGCAATTCAAGAGGTTGGCCTCCTGATTAACCAAAAGTAAACCTGAGACTGAAATCATGCTCTTGGTCAAGAGAGTTCACATGAGCAAGTTCAAAATTTGTTCTGTCCCGAGAGGACGATTCATTCTTGCCTGGGGAGTACAGGCAGTGGCTGAGGAAAGAATCAAGTCTGTTCTGTAGAGGTGCTGCCAGCATCCTTTTGTTCCCCCAGACAAAGCCCCAGTCACCCCACCTTAGGTAGTTTCATCATTTTTTTTATTACACTGCCACGCCCCAGGCATGAATGCTGAATCTCTCTCCATTTATTTAGGTCTTGTGTTATTTCTTTAAATACTGATTTGTAGCAGGGTGTAAGCATTATGGGTGTCTTGGTTAACTCTCAGCTACTGTATGCAGTTATTTTAAATGGAATTTCTCTACCTTTTCCTCTTTAATTTTTGCTAGTCATATAGAGAAAAAAGGCTGATGACCTTTGTGGATTTCTTTTGTATTCAGCTATTTTACTGACTTATTTATCTAGATTAGTTTCTTCACTGATTCTCTAGGATCTTCTAAGTAAACCATCTTAGCATCTGTAGAAGGATAATTTTGCTTCCTCTTTGCTGATGTTCATTGCCTTAGTTTCGTCTGTATTTTTGTCTTATCTAGTATTTCTGGGATCTCTAGCTTCCATCAAACATCAAGTAGGGTACCAGTTCCCACCACATTTGTGTGGTCTTGGGCATGTTACTTAAAACTTTCTAGGTCATAGTTTCCTCAAGGGTAAAATAAATGGGTTGGATGAGATTACCTATGAGGTCTCTTTCAGCTCTAAATCTCTAATTTCATGAAAATCCCTTCAGCAATACAGATCAGTGACTTGTCTACAACATAATCTGAGAGTTACCTAGGGAAATGAGAGGGTGACTTGCTCATGGTCACACAATCATTATGTATCAAAGGCAGGGCTTGAACTTGGATCTGCCTGACCCCAAGGCTCATCCTTTACTGATGTTTCTCTGATGTTTCTCGGCTTTTCTGAAATGCCACAAAAACACACTCTGAACATCTGATAGCAAAACATGAAACCTCTTTGGATCTAAACAATCCCTGCTCCTCCAAAAAAAAATTCCCCCCCCCCCAAAATGAAGGACCTCTTAGTTTCTTTTAATCACATACCTTTTTCAGAGTTGGGTCCTCATGATAGGGGCAGCTTGAAAGGTCAGCCACAGACTTGCTGCAGGTGGTTCGACGAATCTCAGCACTGATAAAGTATTTAATACCAGCCACAACCTGTTAGCAAGAAAATGAAACCGGTATATTAAATGAAGCCCTCTGCCATTTTTGTGTATTTTACATTCATACCAACATCATTTCTGTGATGAATTCAACTTTTATTTAACACCTCCCATGTATGTTTAAGGCACTGGGATAGGTGCCAGGGAAAGCACAAAGGGAAGAACAAAATGGTCCCTGCATCAAGGAGCTTACCTTCTCCTGGAAGAAGATTCCATTCTCAAGAACATTCATTTTTACAGAACGTTTCGCTTCCTAATGATACTGAAGAAATTAAGCAGGTTTTGTTTTCAGTGTGAAATCTGATTGACATGAGGAGTTCCTGCTATGAAAGTTCCTTCCACTAATGCAGAATAGCCACTAACTTTTTCTTAGACTTAAAAACTTATCTGGGGGCTTAGGGAAATATAGTGGTTGAATGACTTCTTCATGGTCACAGAGCATGTGTCAAAGATAGGACTTGAGCCCAGGTCTTCCTGGTTCTAAGGCTGTTCTTCTATCCACTAAATCATGGTGTGTTTCTAAAAGAGGTAAACCAAAATATATTTAAGCATACAGAACACACACACATAGACATACTGTATACATGCATACACATATATACATGTGTGTATATGTATGTATGCTTATACACAGTATTTGTATCTGTTCATATGTGTATGTTCTGTATGCCTAAATGTATTTAAATGTGTGCATATGCGAGCGAGTGCGCGCACGCGCGCGCGTGTGTGTGTGTGTGTGTGACATCATTAGGGAACTCATCAGCAGGAAGTTGGCCACCAAGTAATAAATATTTTGGCCATAGCAACTCAAAAAAAGTCTACTAAGGCAAAGGAGGATTGCTATCTTCCACCAAGTGGAAGACCTCATGGATCTTTTCAAGTATCATTAGAGATCAATGTGTTCTAGACCAGGGCATTTTTCAAATAACTGAAGCTTAGCTTTTCTATGCCTAAACTACTTTAATCATTGTTTATGGAAATCTAAGTTATAGACATATTTCATAGCTAAAATACACTACTCAGAATTTGGCCTTTTTTGATGACTTTTGATAATAAGGTTATCATGGTGAAGATCAATTTTTGTACAGTTCTGTGATATGCAGGGTTTTCTTTGTCCATATTTAGTTAATGGGACAAGACTTCTGTGCTTTGAATTTTTGTGTTTATTTTCTCGTAAGTTCTCCTTTCTCTTCCCTCAGACTTTTATGACTTATTCCTTACTTTTCTCTTATTTATAACTAAGAATCTGCAGCTTGTTATCAGCTCTTAGCATGGTGCCTCGCACACAGTAAGCACTTAATAAATGCTTGCTGATTGACTGGGGATGGGGAAACAGATAAGGCTCTTTTAAATTATGGAATGCTAATACAATAGCTAATATTTACATAGTCTTTACTATGTGCCTGGCATCATGCTAAGCACTTTACAAATATTATCTGGTTTGATCCTCACAACAGCCCTAGGAGGAAGTGCTGTTATTATCCCCATTTTACAGAAGGGGAAACATAGGCAAAAAGAGGTTAAGTAACTTGTCCAGGGTCACACTGCTAGTAAGTGTCCAAGGCTAGATTTGAATTTAAGGTTCTGCGTGAGGGTTCTGCCTATGAAAATAAGTACATAGATTAAAGTTTGAGGATAGGAACCTTTGGCTCTTAACTTCACGGGACTGTTATACAAAATGAGAAAATACAAGTAAATTACTTTGTAAAACTTTCAAAATATGCTATGTTATTATTTTGAAGAGCTTAGCAGTCCTGGACTTCAAATGGATAAATATCAGAAGACCAAAGTTTTTCTTTGGCTTTCTTCCAGGGTTCTTATTCAAGGCTGCTGCATAGGTGACCTATACAGTTTTGGCTCAGATCCTGGCTTTGCTATTATTAAGTCCCTGCTATGTGCCAGGCATTGTGCTAAATGCTAGGGATACAAAAAGAAGCAAAATGAAGTCCCTGCCCTCAAGTAGCTCACAATCTAATGGGGGAGAGACAACATGCAAATAAATATATACATAAAGCAAGTCATATATAGGACAAATAGGAAATAATTAAGGGGGAGAGGCCCTGGACTTAAATGTTTGTATAGGCTCTTTCTAAATCCTCTACTCTGAGACCCAGATAAAGTTTCTAATCTAATCACTAAATTCCTTCCATAGTTAGGGCTTTAAAAGTGTGGTTAAAATCATACACAGCTGCACTTCTGCCAACAAAAATGAATTACCCAAGTGTGGGAAATTTCTCAATTTTAGCTAAATGAACCCCAAGTTCCTCAATCTATTCTAAACCTCCACAATTCCTGGAGATTTTGTTTTATAGGGTCATAGGATTTAGAGCTTGAAGAAACTATCACCTAGCTCAATTTCCACATTATACCAATGAGGAAACTGAGGCCCATGAAGGAAAAGTGACTCACCCAGGGTCACAGTGCTAGTAAGCATCTAAAGCTGGGATCCTGACTCCAAATTCTAATAGACTTTCTACTACAAATATCGCTTCAATCTTTGGCCTTCGCCAAGAGGCACGGCTTTAAATTCCAAGATTAACACTTAGAAACTGTGTGGTCTGGCACAAATTATGTAATCTCTAAGAGCCCATTCCCTAATCTATAAATTGGGTTAATAGATACACTTTGTCATTTACAAGACTGGTGAGTAAAGGGCATTGTGATAGCCTCCTGGTTGGTCCTCGGGTCTCAGAGCCCTCTCCACTCCAGGTCACCTTCCCCTCCTCAGTTCAGTTGTCAAACTGATCTTCCTTAAGCACAGACCAGATCTTGCCAGCCCCACTACAACTGAACTTCAAAGGCTCCCCACTACTAATCATCCAGGACCAAAAATAAATCCTCTGGCTTTGAAGACTCTTTATAACCTGCTCCCTTCTTAACTTTCCAGTCTTCTTATACCTGATGGATGGCTCCCCAAATGCCCCCATAATACACCTCGATCCAATGACCCTGGCCTCCTTGGTATTCCTCACACAAAACACACCATCTGCTAATTCTGGGCATTTTCTCTGGCTGTCTGCCAGGCCTGGGACTGACCGTCACACTCTCATTACTTCCTCCTTCTGGCTTCCTTCAATTCTCAGTGAAACTCCCACTTTCTACAAGAAGGCTTTCATAGTAATCCTTGGTCTTTGCACCTTCCATCTCTGATTATCTCCCATTTATCTAGTATTTAACTTATTTGTTCATAGTTGTTTCATACCGTTTCCCCCATTTGACCATGAGCTCCTTAAGAAGAGGGATATTTTTAAAAACTTTAAGAAAACTAGGCCACTTCTTTTGTCCCTTCCATCTCTAAGATGCTGTGATTCTATAAACCTTAAAGTACCATAAATGTGTTCGAATGAGATGATGCATGCAAAGTGATGCCATACAAATGTTCTCTATTACCACTACTAGATCAGGATTCTGGTCTAACAGAAACTTGTAGCATCGTGTAAAAAGGACACACCTAGAAATTATTTTCAGGATGTTAAGAGACAATCACAATAAACCTTACTACGAGTGATGCATGCTTGATCCAAAACATTTTCTCCTTTTCAGATGGGTACAGGAAATGACACCAATTTTGTGGACATTTCTAAGGTAGAACAGTCTGGGTAAACTTTGCCACAACCCTCAAAAGTCCAGAGAAAATAAAGGTTTGAAGTTTTCAAGTCTAAAATTCCGTGTCATATTGATCCCTCAAAACAATGCCATTCTGATCAGAGAGATCTTAGGTAATGTCTCTCTTACACAAACACATATGCAAAACACCAACCAGGCTGGCTTGACCCTAAAGGCCATTATTAGGCAACCCCAGACCTGCCCAAGGTCCAACAAGTTTTTCAGAATTGCTGAGCAGAATGACCTTTGAGAGGAGAAGAAAAGAAAAAATAAAAAGCTGACTTTTTTTTTTTAAACTGTGCCCTTCTAATGTCCAGTCAACTCAGAATTCCCAGCCTGTAAGCTAAAGCAATCCCAAATCCTCAAATAAGACAAAAAAGTGGGCCACTTCAAAGTAATGTCTGATAAATGGGTCTTTCATTAGGAGTGTATCATTTGCCAGAGGTGAATTTTGGCCATTAGGCAATGAAGCATTTTTCTGACTTAGTGTGTGCCTCGGTATAATAGGGAAGACAATCAGCCAGAGATACTATATTCGGAAACTGAAAGAACCTTAAAAGTTATCTATTCCATCTTTCTAATATTAAAGATAAAAAAATAAAGAGAAAGGTAAAAATTGAGGTCCACAAGTTAACTGATTTGTCTAACACCATGCAGGTATTAATTATGACAGTTCAATTGTGTCCTTCTAACCTACATTACTGTCTGAAAAAAATCAGAAAAGCCCAAAGATAAAAACTATTGATTCACAATTGTTAGGTAGCAGAAAAATAAAAAATTACGAAGGCATAGTAGGTGCCAAAGAACAGCCAGTTTGGGTTCTCTGCTGGACTTTAAAAAACAAGGATTAAAGTCAAGATAACATACTAGCTAACACCCCAATGACCTTACAGACCAAGAGTTATTCTACCCTTTACTGGACTTTTGTAACACCCACAAGAACAGGGTGTTGTTTAGTCCCAAGAAGAGCTGCACCAACTCAAGTTTCTTTTATTCAGACTCCCCAGACTCACAGTGGAAAGTTACTTGGTCTGTTAGTCACAAACTTGGCTCCCATCACAGCTCTGGGGATGGAGAAGAATGCATTACAGCTCAAGGATAAAAACTGCCAGTAGATCCCTGGGGTGCAGGGTACACCACCCCTCACATTGAACTACAAAGGAGAAAGCACACTGGGTCTTCCACTTCCTGAGCTTAGCCAATACAAACTGCCCCCTCCCCCCTTACCCTTTTTAATCCAAGTGACAGTGCAATAAAGTCTGGTAGGTAGGAGATGGAGAGAGCATTTGTTTATATCTGCCCAACAGAGGATAATCCACCTAGATCAGGGTTCCTTAACCATTTTTGTATGTTTTAAGGATCCTTTTGGCAGTCTGCTGAAGCCTACAGACCCCTCCTCAGAACGTTTTAAATGCATAAAATAAAACGCATAGGATTACAAAAAAAGCCAGTCAAAAAAGAAAGTTTCTATTTTAAGTTTAAAATTGCACTAAGACTTTTGGGACATCATGCGAGTGTGTATTATATATTACATTTTATGTACCAAACACTGTGTTAGGCACCGAGGTGAACAAGGTGGAGAGAGGTGGTACTAATAAAGAAAAGCAAACGTCCCTCTCTCCTTTTAAAAACAGAAAGCGAGTAAAACGTAAGGTTGCATGTGGATGAAGTCAAGAAACATTTATTGTGTCTACTGCGTGCTAGCCACTAGAACTTAGCACAGCGCTTGGCATACAGCAGGTAGTTAATAAATTCTAGTTAATTGACGAAGCAGTCAGAATACAAAGAAAAACAACGATACAGTCCAGTCCCTGACCTTAAGAATATATCTGTGTATATCTCTAGACACAAGTGTATATTTATGCACACACGTGTATGCAAAGACACATGCATGTTTTATATGCACTCATTTGCACAAACACATGCAGATATATACATATATGCACACACATACATATCTACATATACACAGAAATGCAGACAGAAATACTCACATATCTACAAACACACACACACACACACAGACAAATGCACACATTTAAAATTTACACTTCCCAGTGAGGATTCGGAAGGTCTCGTGCCCAGCCCCCAGCTCAGATCCCACCTGGGCAGAGCCCTTCCCCGCGATCACCGTCTGCAGGGCCAGGGGAGGGCGCGTGGGGCGCAGTTGGACCCCCGGGGTGCGGCCCCGCTCCACGCCCGGATCCCTGCGGCTGGAGCGGGCCCCAGAGAGGGAGCCAAGGCGGAGAGCATGGCTGCAGCGGCCGGCCCTGCCTCGGGATGACCCCGGCCCGCCCTTCCCCTCTGGGCCCGGGGAGGGGGCGAAGGGCGCCCGCACGCACCTGCTTCCTAACTCTCACTACGCGGAACACTCGGCTGCCGAACTTGTCGTTGCTGGCCCGGTTAAATTCCCTGACGGCGAAGCCGAGCGCTTGCTGCACACCCTCCTCGTTCTCGTTGGCCTCCACAATGCCGCCCAAGAGGCGGGGCAGGCGCTCGGCTTGGACAGCGAGGACCAGGGCGAGCAGCAGCACAGGCAGCAGCAGGAAGGACCGCGGGCCGGCCATGGCGACAGCCGGGAGTGCGCAGGCAAGCAGGCCGCACAGCTCGCTCCTCGGACTAGGGCGCAGCAGAAGAACGCGGCGAGCACACACCTCCCGCCGCCTGCCGCTGGATTTAAATTCCTTCTCCCTGGGCCCCTCCCCCGGCTCGGCCCCTCCTCCGTCCTGCCCCGCCCCGCCCCTCCGTGCAAACACAGCTGAGCCAAAGGGAGGCGGGCGGAAGGGCCTGAGGCCAGCCGTCAGACAACTTTTCTGCCTCTGCTTCGTTCTTTTTTGGAAAAAAAAAAATGTCACGTTCCTCCAAAGAGCTCACAGGGTGGGAGGTTGGGAGTGATTTCCAGGTCCTTCCCTTTTAGGACTTCCTTAAAAAATTCCTTTAAAAATTGTTTTAGTTTTCATTTGGCAAGCATTTATCATCTATTTTTATTGTTACGTAAGTATAAGTAATTTGTTGTTATTTATGCATGCTTTGGGGACAGATTTTATTTCATTCAAACGTGCAAAACATCTGTATTCTCCAGTATTCTTACAATGTACAGAGAACAGGGAAATAAATTAATACCAGTAATTGAGGACCTTTGGTTTCCTTCTATATTCAGCTAAAAGGCCAAGAAGTATTTTTCCCACCCAGCTCCTACTCCTACCCTCCACCGCCCGAGATTACCTTCTATTTACACGGTCTGTATGTAGCATGTACATTTTATTTAAATCCTTGTTTCCTTCATGAGAATGTAAGTTTCTTGAGGTCAGGGACCGTGTCTTTGTCTTTCCTTGTATCCCAGATGCTTAGTCAGCCAATTAATGTTTGGGGCTAGGGAGACCCCAGTTCAAATATGGCCTTAGATACTTACTAGTTGTGTGATGCTGGGCAAGTCACTCTCTGTTACAGTTTTCCTCAGCTATAAAATAGGAATAATAATACTGCCTACCTTCCTGTGTCGTTGTGAGGACCAAATTAAATAGTTTTTGTAAACCACTTAGGGCTGTACCTGGTACTTAGTAGGCACTATATAAATACTTACTCCTTGCCTTCCTTTTATATAAAGTACCTACTGTATTCCAGGGATCTTGCTAAGTGCCAGTGTCTGGCATATAGTTAGCAATTAAATGTTTCTCAACTGTACCTTCGTGCAACCTTACATGCTTTGCTTTATTTTTAAAAGAAGAGTTTCCAAGTTAATACCAACCCTCTCAACTCACTGATCCCAGTGCCTAGTATAGTGCCTGGCATAGAGTAGGCACTTAATAACTACTTGTTGATTGATCTGAGTTTTATTGCTTCTTAAAGTTGACTTAATTTACATAATTGTAGTCACAGTTTTTTTTTTCATATTGTGCACTTCAGGTTTGTTTTGTTTACTGTGTCACAATACAATATCCCCACATATTTGGAAAGCAAAATAGTGCCTTAGTATTGAAGTCAGAGGACTTGAATTCAAATCCCACCTCCTCTACTTCTTACCTGTGTGGCATTAAACAAACCCTGTAACCAACCTGGCGTCCAATCAGTCAACCAATTAACCAACCAGCCAATTAAGAGATTAATTTTTAAAGCCCTAGACAACCTGACCTCAGCCTATCATTTCAGCCTCATTGGATGTTACTTCCCACCCCTCACTGAAAGAAGGTAGTTGTTATGTTAGTAGAGAGAAGGGGCTAGAGATAAGAAATGTACTAAAGGTAAAATAACAAGATTTGGTTACTGAAATGGAATACTATTGCTCATTAAGAAATGATAAAATGGATGGTTTCAAAAAAAGTTTGGGAAGATCTATATGAACTGATGTAGAGTGTAGTGAACAGAATAAGAACAATTTCTGAAGTAACCACATTGTTTAAAAAAAAAAAAAGCAATTTTGAAAGCCATTAGAACTCTGATCAACGCAGTGACAAACCAAAGAGCCAGACAGTTGAAGATAAAGTATGTTATCTACCTCCTGACAGAGCCGTAATGGACTTGCAATGTAGAGAGAAACATAGTTTTGAATATGACCAATGTGAGAATTTTCTTTGCTCAACTAAGCATATCTGTTAGACTTTCGTTGCTGTTGTTTCTCAGAGAGGGAGAAGAGACAAAAATAAATGTTTTTTAGTTGAAAAAAAAAATAGGTCTGACAATTGATTGGATGTGTGGGGTGAGAGACAGTGAAAGGTCCAAGATAATGCCAGTTATGATCTGGAGACTGGAAACAATGGTAATATCTTTGATAGAAATAGAGAAATTTAGAAGAGAGGAGGGTTTAGGGAGCAGATAATGAATTCAATTTTGTACATGATAAGTTTAAGGAGTTCCTGGGACATCCAGTTTGAAATATCCAGTAGGCAGCTGGTGAGGCAAGAGTGAAGCTAAGGAGACTGGGGCTAGATATGCAGAGCTAAAAGTCATCTGCATAGAGATGATAGTTAAACCCATGGGAGATGATGAGTTTGCCAAAAAAGTAAAGGGGGAGAATAGGAACTAGGATGGAACCTTGGGGCACAAGGATAGAAGGAATAATGTGATTGATGGAGAAGCAAATGAGTCTGAGGACTTGTCAGATAGGTGGGAGGAGAACCAGAGAAGAGTAGTGTCACGAAAACCTTTAAAGTTTAGAGTATTAAGGAGGACAGGGTGGTCAACAGTGTCAAATGTGGCAGATTTAGGGTTAGGATTGAGAAAAGAACAGCAGATTTGCAATTAAGTAGTCATTGGTAACCAGGGAGAGAGCAGTTTCAATTGAGTGATGAGGTTAGAACCAGACTTCCAGGGCTTAAAGAGTGAGTTAAGAGGATAGGAGAGGAGGCAGAGTTCAGATAATTTTTTCAAGGACTTTGACTGAGAAAGGGAAGCTTGGGGGGATAATAAAGACTAGTGTAAAAAGAGGAGAGTAGGGCACATTACAGGGAAGGTCCCTTCAAACTTCAGATCTATGATTCAGTCTGAATTTATCACATTGTTTATTCCTTATAGAGCAGTAATGTTCTATTCACTTGTATACTAAAATTTGTTCAAATTCTTTGTACAAATTCTTTCATTTCCCATAAAATACAAATACCAGGTAAAGTTAATAAATTTTATCAGTCATTTATACCTAAGTATGAATATGTTTAGTAGCTGGGAGAAAAATAAATGAAGAAAATGGGAAAGATCTATAAAGATTTCTATAACAAATTGCTTTCTCTGTCTATGGTAGCAGCGTCCTCACTTTTAAACTTTTTCCATTACAGTTCCTAATATACTACATTGGATCATAGTATCATTGGTTTAGAAGACGAAAGGATCTATTCCAGACTCTCTCCCATCATTTTACAGATGAAGAAACTGAGACCCAGAGAGGTTAAATAACTTGCTCAAGTTCGTAAAAACAATTGGTAAAAGTGGCAGGATTTGAACCCCAGATCTTTAACTTCAAATCTAGTTAACAATTTCTGTTGTATGATAGAAGTAGTAATGGTGCTAAAGGAAACAGAGATGGTAAGAATAAGTGGAGTAGATGAAGCTTTGATGAAGGTGGTCTTTGCTGAAGGCAACACAATTTTGAGGGCATTGAGTAATCAGATATCAAGATATTTGAATGAGGGAAAGTGCTAAATGCTTAAAAACATCACAGGCATTTTTACCAACATAGGTGACTAAGAAAACATCAGTACTGATGGAATCCTAATAAAGCTGCCCCCAGTCCCAATACTCTAACTTGCTTATGGGCCTCACTGAACAGCAGGCATGCCCTGATTTGACCTCACAATATAGCTTTAACCACACCACAGGCCCCCAGACTCAATTCAGAGGCCCCACTGAGCAGCAGGCCCACTGTCCCTAGTAAGCCACGTCCCCAGACTCAATATAGTCACTGCCCCTACCTATCCACTGTCCTCCGAACCCCCATTCAATATCCTAACTTTTTTATATATGTCTCACTGCCCCACCACAACAACTGGTGTGTCCATGAACTCATATTCCTCACAGAAACAGCAAGTGTGTCCATGTGATGGGATCCTAGCCACTGCCTTTAGTTAGCCTCTGCCCCCAGACCATTCCTCATATTTCCCACAGAAATAGGTGTGTCCATATACTCAATCACAACCACATCCATCTAATCTCAGACAAGACCACAATAGTCAGCCAATCAGAAAACAGAACCACGAGGATATTCAAGTAGGATGTGGATCCCAAAACAATAGAAGAGAGTTTCCATAAGTAGGCACCTGCACAATAATAGCAAAAGCTGTCCTTTAGGTGAACTTATGACATAGAGAGGCTTATTATAATATCATCATCATACATACAAACCCCCCTTCATGGGTTTTTCTGTATGCATTCTGGGTACTCATATCTACAGTTCCACTGAGACTGGGACCCCTCCCCATTACCTAATCCCTAGATAAATCCCTCCTGCCTTTTTAATATTTATAATTTCTGTTGTATAATCAGTATCATTACACTCTAAATTTGACTTACTAAATTGCGGGTTCCTCTTGAAACTCAGCCAATTGGAGGTGTCATTCCAATAAATGCCTATACTTGGATTACAGGTAGTCTGACTCTGCATTCTTTGAGATGGCGCTGCCACAACATATCATGAAACCGCAACAGTACTAAAAACTTTATACCTATTGAGGGCATCCTTGAAGAAGTTATGAAAAGGGACTAGGCAGGCTTTCACAAATGTCATTCTACATCAAACCACACATTTACAGTTACACAATTGACTGAAAGTTATAATGATTATATGATATCATAATATTTAATTTTTTGTGACTTAAAAAAAATCTTACACTATGGCTGACAATTCAAGAGAGATACACTTCCAACTAGGTATCTGCCATGTATATTATGAGATTCTTTGAAAGATATATCAAATACAGACAACTTTGTTCTATGACTTTCTGATTACCAGTATCAAATGAAGCATAAAACAGGGACCAAAGGGGTTCCCAACTTTGTGCTGGATACCATGGCAGATATTGTAGAAGGGGAAAATGTGGTCCTTACTCTCGAGGACCTTGAAGCCTGTATGGGAAAACGAGATTAATTTACATGTTATGAATTGCTAGAGAATAAAAGAAAGCTGTATATAATCAA